CTGGAAAGGGACAGTGTGGTGAGAAAGCCTCTGGTAAGACAGTGATGGTGGCATGCCTCTTGTAAGACAGTGATGGTGAGCATGCCTCAGGTAAGACAGTGTGGTGAGCATGCCTCGGGTTTAAGACAGTAAATGGTGACATGCCTCTGGTAGACAGTGATGGGGGAGCATGCCTCAGGTAAGACAGTAAATGATGAGCATGCCTCTGGTAACAGTGATGATGAGCATGCCTCTGGTAAGACAGTGATGGTGAGCATGCCTCTGGTAAGACAGTGATGGTGAGCATGCCTCAGGTAAGACAGTGATGATGAGCATGCCTCTGGTAAGACAGTGATGATGAGCATGCCTCTGGTAAGACAGTGATGGTGAGCATGCCTCTGGTAAGACAGTGATGGTGAGCATGCCTCTGGTAAGACAGTGATGATGAGCATGCCTCTGGTAAGAAAGTGATGGTGAGCATGCCTCTGGTAAGACAGTGATGGTGAGCATGCCTCGGGTAAGACGTGATGATGAGCAGGGCCTCTGGTAAGACAGTGAGGGTGAGCATGCCTCTGGTAAGACAGTGATGGTGAGCATGCCTCTGGTAAGACAGTGATGGTGAACATTGCCTTGGTAAGACAGTGATGGTGAGCATGCCTCTGGTAAGACAGTGATGGTGAGCATGCCTCAGGTAAGACAGTGATGATGAGCATGCCTCTGGTAAGACAGTGATGGTGAACATGCCTCAGGTAAGACAGTGATGGTGAGCATGCCTCTGGTAAGACAGTGATGGTGAGCACGCCTCTGGTAAGACAGTGATGGTGAGCATGCCTCTGGTAAGACAGTGATGGTGAGCATGCCTCTGGTAAGACAGTGATGGTGAGCATGCCTCAGGTAAGACAGTGATGGTGAGCATGCCTCTGGTAAGATAGTGATGGTGAGCACGCCTCTGGTAAGACAGTGATGGAGTGAATGATGATGAAAGTGTTTCTTCTTTTTCAGGACACTCTGCCTTGGTGGGAAACAGTCGATGTGTTAATTTAAAAAAAAGTGCTACTACTAGTAACAGTACTTGTAATTGCTGCTGCCGGTAATACTGTTACTAGTATACTGCTACTACTATCACTAACACAGTGGAACCCCGGTTTTCGAACTTAATCCGTTCCAGAAGATCATTCTAAAACCAAAACGTGTGAAAACTGAATCGACGTTTCCCATAAGAAATAATGTAAATACAATTAAACCATTCCAGACACCCAAAAATACTAACAAAAAATAAATTTTTTAAAGATAAACTATAGTGCTGCAGCTCTTCAGTGTTTAGCTCTTCCCTGTGGTCATCCACCAACTCTTCCACATTCATTACTTACCTTAAAATATTTGTAGTCCTAATGTAGGGTGAGAGGTGAGTAGTACTTTTTTGTGTCTGACTTTTTTGGGTTATCCCAGGTTCTCTACACATATGCTGCTAACAACTACCTTTAGATGCCATCATAAACAAAGGGAGAAGTAATGAATAATTCATGCTGAGAATTGTAAACAAAAGCCAGACACAGATTCATACAGTTTTCTCTAATGCTCGACCGGAGAAAAAGAGAAAACGTAATGTTTTCCCTCTGACTCGCCACCTGATAGCATATAAACATTGCATGTTTATACTATGCTATGTAACGTGTTTCTTATATAATTTTGAAGAAAATATCATAGATGGATTAATGAAAATGTCTTTATTAACGTAAAACAAGACATTTGATGTTCCCAAGAACGAGTCAGGAACGTATGAGCGGCCCAGGTGGACGCGCATAATACATCTGATTACCGGATCAGGGTCCGATATCCAGAACAGAATTTCATACAAAAGACAGTCCTAAAACCGAAACTTCCAATAACTGGAGCACGTGAAAGCCTTAGTTCCACTGTAATTTTAATTTTCAGTACCCTAAAATTCTGTTTTTTGTTTTAAATTGATTACAGTGGACCCTCAGTTAATGATGCCATCGGATAGCGATAAAATCAGATACCTATACATTTTTGCGTCAAAACATTGGCTTGGCTAACGATAAAAAACCCAGTTAAGGACATTCATCCAGAAAATGTCTGCCCGGCCTGAGCCGCCCGGCCACTCCAGTGTGGCTAGTGTGCCATTGTTAACAAGCCACTGCAGACGATTCCATGCATACATGTGATACATTTTGTATTATTCTATTGTTTTTAGTGCTTGTAACTGCTAAATAAGCCACCATGCACCCAAAGAAAGCTTCTAGTGCCAGCCATCCCTTTGGTAAAGGGCTGAGAGAGAGGGGAGAATGTGCCTTTTTCAGTGATTCTGCAATATGTACGATACTAATGCAGCAGGAGTCTATAAAGGCTATAGTGCCGGCCAGTGATAAAGTGTAGCATTAACTGTAGCAAGTAAGTTAAGCGATTAATCGATAGAAAAAGGACAGCACAAACCTAATTCCTCCAATGTTGTTGGAGTTATGTAGGGCGACTGACAACACCACCGTCTCTACCGCCTCTGCTAGCCTTCACCACCATTATGTACAGCTTATGCTCTCAGTGGCCCTTGTACACCCAACAACAACAACACAGCAACACTTGACATACTTAACCCTTTCAGGGTCCGGAGGCCAAATTTCAAAGTGTGCACCAGGGTCCAAGAATTTAAAAAAAAAAAAATTGTTATTTTTTTCTTATGAAATGATAGAGAATCTTTTTCTGAAGGTAATAAAGCAAAAAGTACGAAATTTGATGGAAAATTGACGAAATTATGTTCTTGCGAATTTTGATGTCAGCGATATTTATGAATTGGCGATTTTGCCAACTTTGACTCCCATTTTAGGCCAATTACATTATTCCAGTCAACCAAATTCTTAGCTATTTCACTAGTATTACTTCTATTCTATCGATTGAGCACAAGAAATCGCCAAGTCAACTGTTTCAACTGCAAAATAGTGATCGGAAATTGGTAATTTGGCCAATTTAACACAAAGTTCAAAATATTCCAATTTCAAAATAGGGTCCAGAATAAACAATGTAGGTATTCCTGGCACTAAACTAACATTTCCTCTGTTCATTAGTTATGTTTTCAGACTTTACAAATGAATTCCATTTTGATTTTTTATTCACAATGAATTTTTATTCAAACAAAAAATAGAAGATTTATTGTTATGCAATATTGTAATAATTGTTATAAATATCATCACCACATTTGTGAATGTATATTAGACCCACCAGCTGACGCGTATTAGACGTGTGAGGTCGTTTGTTTACTCTTGAACATCGGCAAAAATTTAACATTTCCGCTACTTTGAGCTCAGTTTCAAGCCATTTCTAGTGCTAAAACCAATCAAACTCATCTCTATTTCTGTAATATGTCTTCCATTCTATCAAACGAGACCAAGAAATCGCAAATACAACTATAAAAAACATAGGAAAAACACTGCAAAGTAGCTGTTTTAATCGAAAATCACTGTCTCAGTTTTTTTTCTCTCATACACTGTGTGCTTCAGGATTTGCTTTATGTGGTGCACACATACCACATAGATGTATTCTCTCATATCTAGGCCCAAATTTACCACTCACAGCTTATCAGAGTGAGCTGAGCTCATGGCGTAGATCTACGGTTTGGACCCTGAACATAAAGCTGTAGATCTACGTCATTAACCTGAAAGGGTTAATGACGTATTTTATTCATTCTAGAGTATATGTCATGTTTCTATGTTGTTTATTATGTCATATTAGATGAATTGTGCTAGATAAATAAGCTGTAGAGCTCATTACCAGAACATACTAAAGTACCCAGGCCTGAAAATCAATTTAAGACTCTTCAAAAAAAAAAAAAAACCACTTGCCCAGGGCTAAATAATCAACACTTACTTAAATCTTAAAATTCAAGACAACATACAGTAAATTGATCATCTTGTTTGTTATACATTGTAATGCGACAAATTTGTACAACTAGAATGCTTCAATATCGAAATGTTCAAATTTCATTGTTTCAAATACTCGATTGTACTTCATATTGTAAATTGTTTACTGTAATTTTTTCCACTGAACCTTTCATTGCTTGTTAATTTTAAGTTAGTTTTAAGACTGCCCGTAATGCTCTGCATACAAGGGGCTTTTGGCATGTACACCCAACTGCTATAATTCCTTGTACAACTATATATCATGTCCAAATAAACTATATGAATATGAATATTTGTGTCATATTGAAGGACTATCTTGTGTCTCCCAACACAATTCCTAACATACGCCAGAAACAGACCTCTCTCGAAAACTTTTGAACGACAGGGGTCCAGTGACTCTCAAGCTGGTCCTAGTGGCATTAAAAACGAAGGAGGGAAGTAACCCAGGATAAGGACTTGGTACCTGAAGTCTTTATGGAGTGGGATTCCCCTTCCAAACAATTGTAAACTCCTCCATCCTCTCCCTCCTCCCGTCTTCCATACATCACCATGTCTTCAATAAAGGTAAATGTGATGTTATCATTGTTTTATTCTTCATGTATCATTGTTTTCTGTGTAGGGAAATGTATATTTCATGTAAAAAAATTGTTTAGTAATTTTGGGTGTCTGAAACGTTTTTAATTGGATTTCCATTATTTCTTATGGGGAAAATTAATTCGGATAACGATAAAATCGGTTAAGGACAAGCTCTCTGGAATGGATTAATATCGTTAACTGAGGGTCCACTGTATTTTGCTCGCTGGTCATCTCTGGCGTATGGTGACTTGAATAGAAACGCTTTGACCATCCGTCAGTGTCTGTACCGAAATGTGCTACATTGTCTGATGGTGTAGACACAGTTGGATTTTTTGCCATAAAATGTGCCGTTTGTGGGTGACGTCACTGTATGCACCCTTGCGTGTGCTGTATGTGAGGTACTTTCAATGTTGCACCAGGTGATTGAAAACGGTGGCATAAGATCGATCCTCTGTCTCTTAATCTTGTCGTAGTCTGCGACCCCTCAGACTGTTAGTGCTCCGTGGCAGCAAGTGACGTCACATTGTATTTCAGAAAGACGGTGTACCTCCCGACTACGACCGTCACAACCCCGAACACCGACACATCTACAAGTTTGTGAGGACTCTGTTCAAACGCTGCTCAGCTCACTGCAGAGTGCGCCATTATCACACTAGTCTACCTGGAGAGGTCAGTGTGTCATTATCACCCTAGTCTACCTGGATAGGTCAGTGTGTCATTATCCCCCTAGTCTACCTGGAGAAGTCAGTTATCATGATGGCTGACGTTGCCGCCCCAGTAGTCAGTCCAGACCAGGATGACTGACGTTGCCGCCCCAGTAGTCAGTCCAGACCAGGATGACTGACGTTTGCAGCCCCAGTAGTCAGTCCTAGACCAGATGACTGACGTTGCTGCCCCAGTAGTCATCCCAGACCAGGATGACTGACGTTGCGCCCCCAGTAGTCAGTCCAGACCAGGATGACTGACGTTGCAGCCCCAGTAGTCAGTCCTAGACCAGGATGACTGATGTTGCTGCCCCAGTAGTCAGTCCCATACCACGATGACTGATATTGCCCCCCCCAGTAGTCAGTCCCAGACCAGGATGTGGCTTGTTCCTTTGTCAATCGGTAAAAATATTTGATTTTATATTTTTCATTAAACAAAAATTTTTTTAGATTTAATAGCTTAAATTTACCTAAGTTGGGGCCCAAGTTATGTAGTTTTTCCCACTTTAAATTAAATGGAAAAAAAAGTTAGTCTTTGAAAATGTTTGGGCAGCATTTTGGGGTGATTTACCAGACCTCACCCCAAATATGGTAGTTTTAACATGGTAAACATACCCAAACTCTTGATGATGAATTATGGGCCCTTTGGGAACGAGTTGTTTATGTATCCTGTTGTTTCCCACTAGAGTAGGTTTTGCCATCTTGGGATGTTTTTGTTCACCAACAACAATGCCCTTCTACTTTTGTTCATTCTTTTCCCGGTTGTTGCATTGCGGAATTGACATGACGCCGGGGGCTGGAAAAAATTGTTTAGGCGCCCCTTTTCTCGCAGTAAGGTCGGGATGACCAAGCGTGTGGAAAGTCGACTACTGCCGATCCCAAGGATAATCGTCACGACATGTAAGGGCAGTTGAAACTTGTTGGCAACATGAACCCGGTGTCGCACACCCCCGGGTATTGGTTATCTCATTCAGGGAAATTAAACTACTAGATTTTTTTTTTGCAAATTAACTATTTATCTATTAATAAATTTTTTAAATAAAAGGAAAACTAAAAAATTTTCATTTCCCTTTTATTTTCAACAAAAAAAATACATATAAATGGATGGGGGGGTGAGAGCTCATAGACGGACCCTTAACACCACCACCCTCCCCCCAAAGCCTTTGTTTACACAATATACAAATGACAAACTAAACTGATTCACAAATATATAGAAGTAGGTACGATATACATTACATCCAGGTTTTTTATTTTTTAACCTTTTTTATGCAAAGGAAAAAACAGGATTATGAAAATGGGGGAACAAGGGCATGTACAAAAGGATAATAAACACGGGGGTCTCCTGGACAGGGACAACACAGGATATATAAACACGGAGTCCTCATGGGCAGGTACAAACAGGGAAAATAAACACTGGAGTCTCTCATGGGCAGTACAACAAGGTTTAAAAAACACTGGGGGGTCCTCCCTGGACAGGTACAACAAGGGGAATAAACCTGGGACTCTCATGGACAGGGCAACACGGGGATATAAACATGGGGGTCCTTTTAGGACAGGTTTAAACACAGGAATATAAACACTGGGAGTCTCTCATGGGCAGGGAAACAAGGGGGTATAAACCCCTGGGATCTCTCTGGACGGGAACAACACAGGGGAAAAAACCCTGGATCTCCATGGACAGTACAAAACAGGTATAAAAATGGGGGGTCCCATGGACAGGGACAAACAAGGGGAATAAACACTGGGGGGTCTCTCATGGGCAGGACAAAAACAGGATATATAAAACGGAGCTCTCATGGACAGGGAAACACAGGGGGAATAAACACGGGAGTCTTCATGGACGGTACAAAACACAGGGATATAAACACTGGGATCTCCATGGACAGGTACGACAGGATATTAAACCGGATCTCTCTGACAGGTACAACACAGGGGAAAAAAACAAGGGATCCCCCCAGGACAGGTACAAACAGGGATAAAACACGGAGTCTTCATGGAAGGTACAACACAGGGTATATTTTCACTTTGGGGGTCTCTCAGGACAGGTACAACACGGGTTATAAACACTGGAGAGTCTCTATGGACAGGTACAACACAGGAAATAAAACCTGGGGGTCTCCATGGGCGGTACAACACAGGGATATAAACACGGGATCTCTCTGGGCAGGACAACACAGATATATAAAAACCCGGAGTCTCCATGGACAGGACAACACGGGTATATAAACATGGGGGTCCCCCATGGACAGGGACAACACAGGGGAAAAAACACGGGAGTCCTCATGGACAGGTACAAAAACAGGGAATAAACACTGGGGGGCTCTCATGGGCAGTACAAACCCCGGGGGATATAACACTGGGAGGCCCCTCATGGACAGGGACAACACAGGATATAAAACACGGGAGTCTCTCATGGACATTACAACAAGGGGAAAAACACTGGGAGTCTCCATGGCAGTCAACACAGGAATTAAACATGGGGGGCTCTCATGGAAGGGCAAAACAGGGGATATAAAAAATGGGGGTCTCTCATGGGAAGGACAAAAAACAGGGTATATAAAAACTGGGGCTCTAGACAGGTACAACAAGGGGATATAAACCTGGGAGTCCCCTCATGGACAGGTACAAAACGGAATAAAACACTGGGGGGTCTCTCATGGGGCAGGAAACACAGGGTATAAAACACTGGACTTCATGGGCAGGTACAACACATAATAAAACTGGGGGTTCCCCATGGAAGGAAACACAGGGTATTAAACACTGGGGGTCCTCATGGACAGGTACAACACAGGGATATAAAACTGGATTCCCCTCATGGAAGGTCAACACAGGGAAATAAACACGGGGGTCTTCATGGGCAGGGACAAAACAGGGTATATAAACATGGGGGTCCTCAGGACGGTAAAACAAGGGTAATAAAACTGGGGGGCCTCATGGGCAGGTACAACACAGGGGTTTTAAAACGGGGGTCTCTCATGGGCGGTAAACCAGGTAAATAAAAAACTGGGGGTCTCTCATGGGCAGGTACAACCAGGAAATAAACATGGGTTCTCATGGACGGTACAACACAGGGTATATAACACTGGGGGTTCTCAAGGACAGTACAAAAACCAGGGTATATAAAAACCGGGGGTCTCTCATGGGGCGGTACAACCCAAAATATAAAACTGGGGGTCTCTATGGCGTACAACACAGGGTATATAAACACTGGGAGTCCTCAGCAGGTACAACACAGGATATATAAAAACCCGGGGGTCTCCATGGACAGGTACAACAAGGGAAATAAACCTGGGGTCCCATGGGCAGGTACAAAACGGGGATATAAACACTGGGGGGCCCTTTATGGCAGGTAAAAAAGGGGATATAAACCTGGAGTCTCTCATGGACAGGTACAACACAGGAATAATTTAAAAACTGGGGGTTCTCATGGACAGGTACAACACAGGGTATATAAACCTGGATCTTCATGGCAGGTACAACACAGGATAATAAAAAAATGGGGGTCTCTCATGGCAGTACAACACAGGAAATAACACTGGGGGTCTCATGGAAGGGACAACACAGGGTATAAAACACTGGGGGTCTCTCATGGCAGGACAACACAGGGTATATAAAACATGGGGGTCCCCCCAGGAAGGGACAACACAGGATTATAAACACGGGACTCTCATGGGCAGGGGGAAAAAAAGGGGGTATAAAAACTGGAGTCTCTCATGGACAACAACACAGGGAATATAAACACTGGAGTTTCCCCATGGAAGGTACAACACGGATATATAAACACTGGGGACCCTCATGGGAAAGGGACAACACGGGTATTAAAAAACTGGACCCCCTTTAGGACAGGTACAACACGGGAAAATAAACACTGGGGGGCCCTCATGGACAGGTACAACACAGGGTATAAAACATGGGATCTCTCATGGACAGGTACAACAAGGGGATATATAAACACGGGAGTCTCTCATGGGCAGGTACAACACGGGGATATAAACATGGAGTCCCTTTATGGACAGGTACAACACAGGGGATATAACACTGGGAGTTCTCCGGACAGCAACACAGGGGATATAAACACGGGAGTCCTCATGGACAGGTAAAAACAGGGTAATAAACACGGGGGAGTCCCCCAGGAAGGTTCAACACAGGGTATATGAACACTGGGGTCCTTCATGGGCAGGTAAAAACACAGGAAAAATAAACACTGGGAGTCTCTCATGGGAAAGGGAAAAACAGGGTATTAAACCCTGGATCTCTCATGGACAGGTACAACACAGGGGAAAAAAACACTGGGAGCTCTCATGACAGGTACAACAAGGTAAAAACACTGGAGGTCCCTCGGAAAAGGTACAAAACAGGGTATAAAACACGGGGGTCCTCAGGGACATACAAACAGGGTAATAAAAACGGGAGGTCCCTCATGGGGCGGGGACAACCAGGGGAATAAAAAAACCCGGATCCTTCATGGCAGGGAAAAGGGTATATGAACACTGGGAAGGGCCCTCTGGACGGACAAAAAAGGGTATATAAAAATGGGAGCTCTCATGGACAGGTACAACCAGGTATTTAAACATGGGAGTCCCCCCAAGGGCAGGGACAACACAGGGAATAAAAAACTGGGGTCTCCAGGACAGGACAACCAGGGATATAACACTGGGGGAGTCCCTCAGGCAGGGACAACACAGGGTATTAAAAACTGGGGGAGTCCCCATGGAAGGTCAACAAGGGTATATAAAAAACTGGGAGTTTTCATGGGCAGGTACAACACAGGGTATATAACACGGGAGAGTCCCTCATGGGCATCAACACAGGTATTAAAAAACTGGGGGTCTCTCATGGACAGGAAACACAGGGTATATAAACACTGGGGGAAATCCCTCAGGACAGGTACAAACAGGGGATTAAAAAATGGGGGTCCTCATGGACAGGGACAACACAGGGGAATGAAACTGGGGGGAGCCCCCC